AGTCGAAGGGCGTACTGCCAGCACTGAACATCGTCTTGAACGAAGAAATCATCTAAACCAGCAGTATAGCCATTCCACCCCTTTCATCCTGCTTCGCAAAACCGTTTGTAATCTTGAGGGGGGAGATCTTCCAACACCAAAGGCAAACAACTGCTTAATGAACTGATCTTTTGCCTAGCTACCGGGCTCAAGTTGAATAAAAACAGCTGAGCAGCAACTTCCTGAATATAGTGTTCAAGAGTCTTTAATCTATTCCAACGTCCTTTCCATTGAATCTGACTAATGTTGCCGCGCTGCAAATATTCATGGGTAGCTCCTCAGCCACGGAGCGTTCCAGGTGTAGCTCCTCCTTCCGCCTGGCGTCGGGGGATCTGCAAGCGATCCATAATACTGTTCCCCTGCCGCCTGTACGCAGCGGTTGATGCTGGAAACAATTTTGTGTCCAATGCTTGAAGGCCAAACACGCACCAAGCAAGAAAACTCAAAGAATCATCATCGACTCTAAAGGGTTGTTTTCGAGCGAAGCGTGAGGTTTTAGGGTTTTTGACAAAAATGTACAACGAACGTGTCTCCAGCATGGAGTCAGAGGGGAAGATCAAGTCCCTCCGTGTCAGTTGAAGAAATTCGTTGGGGTGCAACATTCCGCCAAACCCGAGTGCGGTGATCGCAGCAAACGACCACCACCCCCACAGCAGGGACAAACAAAGTACTGCACGCAAAACAGGAGCTGAAAGAACGGCCCGGCATTGGCCAGGCTCCTCTAGTTGCCACTTCTTGTCAACAGCCCAAGCGCCACTTAGACATGATCTAAACTCTGGACGCAACTGTTGCACTGCTGTAATGGCGTAAACTGTAAACTAGACAATATCGTGGAGCTCGCTGCTTGAACAATGCAAGCCCATAGCCCTTAAGACCCAAGTTTGCAAGCTCAGCAGTACTTAGAATTTCGTCCAGCGTCACATGGGCTTCAGTAGAACACCAAAGCCCGAAGGCCTCCAAGCATTTCTGCATTCGAACAGGTCGCCTGTCCTGTGCAAACCCGCCCATCATATTCAAATCCCCTCTGGGCTCATAGCTGGAAAATTGTTTAGGCCCAGGATTCTGTTCGATGTCTCCTGCCATCAGTAGGAGGAGGCGATACCACCTCCCAACAGTCCGAATCCATCCTGATGATGTCAACATGATGTCAAAAGGTGCTGTGTCGCCGTCAAACAATGCTTTCAACCAAACAGGGACAGGTCGACTCGGAGGAGGAACCGGGCCATCTCTTGACGGCCCGTCGGCCCGATTCCATGCAGACCTGCAATGCAATGTGCCCGGATACAAACCGCTCCCAATCAGATAGGGAAGTGTGCTTCTCAAAATCCTGCTCAATGCTTTGCTACTGCTGCGGCCCTTGGCCACTGCTCCCATGGTGACCCTGCTACCTAACAATGCAACAAGACGACTGTTGTAGCAAACTTTTGAAATTGATTTGATCCAACTCTTGTAAGTTCTGCATTCCAAACAATTGATATGACCGGAAGGTCGGAATTTGTATCGAAACAACTCCTTGTAAGGAAGACACTCACATAGGTCCTCGACCCACTCTGGGTCGTCATGCCAAGCCCTGTCCCACCGTGTGCCTAAGTCACAAGAATCTTCTGCAGCATCTGCCACACGGTGCTCCAGCTTCCGCTTCGTCGAAGATCGGTGCTCTGCTGAACTCCCAGCTGCCATCACCTGACAAAGTGGGAGGGGGTAACTTGCAGAATACGCACTGACTGCTTCTCCTGGGGTCGGAAGCTTTCCGTACACCGTCTTGCAATTTGGCTTGCAGCGAGAAAGGAAAACAGGTATTGAAGCTTTAGTGAACGAACCCTCAATGGTGAAGTGCCCCCCCCTTATAGTTGCAAGAACATTTACCACTGAGAGGGACATACCAATGCTTGTTGTGCAGCCATTGACTGGCTTTTTGAAAAGCAGATCCAAAAAGAACAGAAGCAGAACCGACTAATGGCGCAGCCCAAGCCGAGCAATCTCTGAAAGGCAGCTAACCGGAACATCACTGACGACCCTGGTTGCTCACAAGACACGTAGGTTCCTGCTTGAAGAGCCAGTGTCAGCAGAAACGCTGTTCGAACTGCTAACAGAGTTTGCTCCTTAGTCAAGGCATCGTCAAGATCAAACCCAGCTGGCTCAGATTTGGATCTGAGCCTAGGCCTTCTCAATGTGCCAAAGGACCAGCACGGGGGTGCTGCATGCCATTCACCTATTGCTCCATTGTAAGCTAAAGTTGCAAGATCACGAAACGTCTGATTATTGGAAAGATCACCGTAACCTCTACCTTTAGCTGTTCGCTCAATGCCAGGATGCACTCGAAGGCCACATTGTCTGTGACAACTGCTCCAGTTCCCCTGCCCCGAAAACAATTCAATGCAATCGAAAACCTTTGTTCCATCTTTCAGTGTATGATTGACCTTCAACTGTTCGCGAGGCGGACTAGCAACAAGAGGTGCATCATCTGGTTGACCGAATTGTTCCTCATGTTCCAAACCTAGTTCACGCAAAGCTAACCTAACCCTGGGCCCTCTTGTAGACGAGTATAGTACCCTCTCTGCTCCGAGTGCCTCCACAGCTCGTCGGTGGCTGCAGCAGAAAGTGTCGTCCGACAGATCCCAGTGCCGTATGGCGAAGCATCCATCAAAAAGAGCTGTGGACGAGCTTGTGTTCGCATGTTGGTTTGTATTGCGGGTGCAAGAAGACATAAAGCCATCAACTCGTTCTTTGTAGCCCGGGATAACTTGAAAAGTTCATCTTGCTTCAAACCATCGCCCTCCGTGTACACAGCATCTAACACTGCGAACACCGGCCGCCTAAAAAGGAGAATATGAGTCCAACAACCCAACAGCCCCTGTAGTAGTTGTTTGCTAGCGAACCCTTTGTGAACTACAATGGAAGTGATGAAGCTCAGCAACATGACCCTGGCTCTTGGGGCTGAAACACGGCCGCGACAACCATCGATCTCGGCTCCCAGGACTACGGCGTGCGGTTCCCGTCGTTGTCGTTTCCCAGGGTGTGCTGTGAGACCAACGTCAACGTAAGCCTGGTTTGCAGCCTCGAAAACCTGTTCGTCACGATTGCAATGCAGGCTCCAATCCCCACTCGTCTTGATCTTCTGCAGGCCAATGTGGTCATCAATAGTCAACAACTCGTAGAAAGGACCACGGGGGATTGGACGTCTGTATTGCAAGCACTCTTCCGGAAGCATGCAACCAGCCCGCAGCCGCAACAGGTTAAGGTGGGATTGTTGGGCGATCTCCACCGCCAACGCGTCACCCATGGCCAGGGTACCCAAACACAAATACAATGAACCTGAGTGTACTGAAGGATCATAACATTGTAAATGGGCAACCTCTGAAGCGGAGTATCGGATACCGATTGCATTGCGCTGAGCCCTCTTTGAAGAAACCCCGAAGGTACAATAGAATTCACACAAGTCGTCGGAGGAGATCACAAGCTGTTCGTCGTCGGCGGGCGTAATCATAGAAACCAAATAACCGGGGGCAAGAGTTTTGGTGTAGTTCGAATACGAGAACGACCTAGAGTTCACAACGCTCGGGTTCAAGATGAGGCGATCGAACTCGCTGTCTTTGGGGACAGCGAAAAGTCCAACCGTCTCCACTGGATCAACCCTTTCGCAGGACACCAGATTGCATGCCCCCAATTGGTCCCACTTCTCAGCCAACGCCAGCACCTCCGACTTGGATGCATGCACTTTTGCTTTAGCAACACGAGGCCAGTCGGTCTTTGGCCGTCGCAACACTTCAGGGTCTTCGAACGCTTGCTGAATGATTGGATCAGTCAGATATGGACGGGGATCGAAACTCGGAGCCAGCTTCCACTTTATTCTAGAGGCTTTGACAGGCATGGCTGTGCAAGCGTTCAAAGACAACTTTTGCGGGTGGCGTGCACCCTGGTCGTGCTGGGCAGAGCCTTTGCCAGAGTTCCTTCTTTCTGAACCGTCACTATTCCGACTACGTGGATGCGAGCACGAATCAAAAGAGGATTGAAGAGGTTTAAAAAACTAGCAATATCATCGAATTCAAACTCCTTGGAAAAATTGGGAGTGTAAAAGCTGCAGCGCTCAAATTCTTCAG